AACCAAACATACACAGTAGAGTTAGAGACACACTCGGACCTTGTGGTAGCCTGACAACTTGTGGTCAACTTGCACCAACACCCAGCTGAGCCGAGTCAGTGTGGTGCTGGGTGTGTAGGCCCACCTGGGGACTGTTGCCAGCAGCATAAGAGGCAGAACTGAGGCTGTTGGAAGCTGGCAGAAGCTGTTGGGAAGCTGTAAGGAGTTGTTGGCTTTCCTGGAGGGGTTTGTCATGCTGGTTTTCCTGATCAGCTTGGCTGTTCTCATCTGAGGAGGATCTCTGGACCTCGTTGTTGCTGAGAATGGCTGTGGTTCACTTTGGGGGAGCTCTGGTTCTCACTTTGAGCATCACTTCCTGGCACCAGAGGGGAAGATGGTGCACTGCCAGTTTCCTGGAGAAGCTCACAGCATTGGTTTTCCTGATGGGAACTCGCTCTCCTCATCATCGGAAGAACTCGGGGTCTCACTGTTGCTGAGGATGGCTGTGGTACCTTTCAGGAGAGCTTTGATCCATACTTTGAGTAGCGCTTCCTGGCTCCAGTGCAGATCCCTCAGCCTGCTGGCACACATCCTTCATCCCACTGGCACAGACTTTCTAGCTTCCACCACCGACTTTTGGGCCTTCCCAGTGCAGATCTCTGAAACAGGCATGCATGGGCTCTGGGCCTCCAGGTGGACTCATGGGAGGCATTGTTATGGGCTCTAGGTCTTCAGCTGGACTCATGCAGGACATTATCATGGAATCCAGGCCCTCAGCTGGATTCTTTGGTCTTTAGTGTGTGGACAGATTTCCTGCACTCTTTTTGTATATGACTCTTTGGGTGACTATTGTAAAATAATCTTATAAAACATGTGTTCTGTATTGTATTATTCCCCTTGCAAAACGCCAAATCACAACAGGTGTGATGCAGAAGGGGCAGATGGCAGACATCATCAGTGAGAGAGACAGTGGGAGACACCTAGGATCAGAGGTGTCTGAGCCTTTAATACTGGAAGCCTGAGTTATCAAGCCTTCTTCTTCTTCTTCTTTTTTTTTTGGCCTGTTCGTGATGCTGCCATTTTGTGATGTTCAGTAAATGTACCTACTTACTACATACCATGAGGTGTATACTTGGCAAGTCTTTCCTTGTTGTATACGATAACCTGGACTATTTTCAACCCATTTAACTGGAACACAGGAGCACACACACACACACACACACACACACACGTACTGTAAAGAAACTATTTTTACTTTTTGTGTGTTTTTGAGACAGGGTCTGCTGGGCATGGAGGCACATGCCGGTAATTCCAGCACTTGGGAGGCGGAGGCAGGAGGATCGTTGTGGTCTGAGGCCAGCCTGGGCTACAAAGTGAGCTCAAGCCTTGAACTCACAACGATCCTCCTCCCAGTGCTGGGATGACAGGAGTGTGCCATAATGTCCAGCTCTATTTTTACTTTTAAAGCTAACTTAAAATGGGGGCACAGTGCAACTGCACCGCTAGCTTTGTGACATGTTTGCATGTGTAAATGTGGTGATGTGTGGTCCTTCTGTATCTATGGAAATTCACAACTCCAGTGTTCACAAGTTGGGCACTTACTACACAACAAATGCTGCTTGTGAGAGTTACCCAGTGGAAAAGCAGGCTCATAAGAACCTCATTCACCAGACCTGTCACTGACGTAAGGGAATGCGAGATGTCAGATATGCTGAGTTTGCGTTCCCCAAAGTCAAAGAGTGAATTGTAAGTAACAACAGAGGTTAGGAGTAGGGAAATTCACTGGAGAAAAAGGAATGGGGACTAGAAGTGGGTAATAAGTGTGGGGAATGGGAATAGCTCCTGAGAGACAGGAGGGGTCCCCACCTGTCAAAGGAAATTTTATAGAGCAAAATCCTTAGGTGGGGATAACATGGGTCAATGTTAAAATCAACCAATAAGATTACAAGTATAGTTGCTTAGGTAATATTGATCCAATAGTAGCAAGGGCATATGGACGACCTTATTAACCTTGACCAATAATTTACAGTGTTGTCTGTAGTCAGCCTCAGTGGCCTCGGTCTTAGTCTTAGCGGGTGGGAGAAGAAAGCCCACCCCTATCAAAGGGGTGATACCAATAATCTCAAGCTTCTGTTTATCCCTTAGAGAAGTACACAAATTTGGCCACAGTGACTTTAATATTCCGGTGCCCCCCAGCCACAGTCTAGTAGGTTCCCATCGTCTGCACTGACTTCTTCGAGGGCCCAGCCCTGGGTGACTGCCTACAATATTCCCCTGTAACTTGGCTGTCTGTACATCACCACACCATCTCCGGCTCTTCCCCAAAGTGAAAATGAAAAGTAAATGTTTTAGTTGATTCAGGATTTAATGAGCACAAGGTGAGTGAACGAGCCAGAGACCACTCAGCAGGCTTTTGTGCAAGCGCCAAGGCATACAGTTTAATACCTTGGTGTTAGGGGCTGGGGATTTAGCTCAGCGGCACAGCGCCTGCCTGGCAAGCGCCAGGTCATGAGTTCAATTTCCGGTACTGGAAAAAAACAAACAAACAAAAAACCAACCAACCAAACAAACAAAAATACCTTGGTGCAGGTAGACAGAGGGTGATATGGCCATCTATAGGGAACACAGAGAAATGGGTCCCATTTACAGGGATTGAAAGAAGGCAAGGGACATTTGGTGGAAGACTTTAATAAGCATCTATGGTCAGAGTTTTCTGGCAGTCTTGTTAGTTTCTTTCCTTTTCCTTTTTTTTTTTTGACACAGTTCAGGCTGGCCTCGAGCTCATTTTGTAGCCCAGGCTCATCTTGAACTCACAACGATCCTCCTGCCTCAGCCTCCCAAGGGCTGGGACTACAGGTGTGTGCCACCATGCCAGGCATATGGAAGTATTTATTGAAAGAAAGCTTCTGACTGAGGGTGACAGAAGAGGGTCCTGAATGTGTGGCCCTGGGGAACCTACTTCTCGAGGGAGTTTTATAGAGCAAAGCCAAAAGGAGAGGCAGGTATAAAGTAGGACAAAACTATAATTAACTAATAAGATCATAACTATAGTCACTTAGGTAACATTGATCCAATGGCAAATCACAAGGTGGGTATGAGGTGGGACAAAACTAAAGTCAACCAATAAGATTACAGTATAATCGCTTATGTAATATTGATTAAATGGGGATCAAATGCAGAAGCAAGTCAGGTAGCAAGTGTACTGGATGGAACAAAGGCTTTTCCCGGCAGGGAGAGGCCAGGAAGTTTTGGTCCCTCACCGAAGGTGATTGATACCTGGAATATCAATCACTGCTGTCCATCCATCCGGGAAGTGTGTGGGTGTAGTCACTTCTCTGTCCTGGGACCGACCTTCAACAAATGCATCTCTAGCCACAGTTATCTTTGCACTGAATTTTTCTAAGGACCTAGCCCTGTCTGACCCCGTATGATATTTCTCAGCAATTTAACTGCCATAATAATGTCATCTACTCATCATCTGTATTTTTTTCTTTTCTTTTTTCTACCCGCTGGCCACAACTCTTCTGCCAAGCATTACGTGTCCTGTTTCTGTTCTCACTTAACCCTAAGCAATTCCAGGCAACTATATAGCGCACATCTCATCAATACACTGAGGCCTGCTTTTATTCTTAGTCTAGCTATCTCTTCTGTCTTATAGAATTCACTTGGAGTTTACAAAGGTATTTACACATGCTTTAGAGTTTCTTAATAACCACACAGTTGGTCAAAACTGAACTTCTAAAACTATTAATTTTTCCTGTCCTCATTCCCCCGCCATCAGTCAACCAATAATCCTGCTGGCACCACCTCCTAAATCTCCCTGATCATTACATGCTACATAAGCTGTTCTTTCTCACAGGGACGATCCCAGTGGTCCCTTAACAATTTCCTCTCCTTTGGTGCTTGTTCCTCCTAACGCATTCTTCACAGACAAAACAATCATTCGTGGTGCACTGTTCCAAACTCTCAGCATGGAGTGGCCACTGCCCTGCAGACCTGGTCCCCCTCCCCCGACGGCCCTCTCTCTCCAAGTTCCATCTCTGGCAGATCGCCAGCTCAAGTTTCCACCTGGTTAACGCTTACTCCTCCCTCAAGCCTCATGCAACTTTTTCGGAGAAACACTCTCCTGTTACTTGCTTGCTTATTCTTTAAGCCACCCAGAAAGTTGCAGAGGGTTCGCATTACATCGGACGCAATCCTAATCGTCCCCAAAGCCCGCCCCATCGAAGACTTTTGGGTTAAAAAAGAAATATCAATGAAAATTGGACTACTGGAAAGGATTACGTGTAGAACAAAAACCCTGGAAATATTTTCAGACTTCAACCCTGGTGCAGGGGGAGGGGCTGGCTCAGAGCTGTGTGGCGTTGTACACTCGAGAGGAACAAGCTCTGCGACTACTGTCATCCGGCAGGTTTTTTTTTGTGTGTGTGTGCGTGTTCTTGAGACAGGGTCTCGCTATGCAGGTCAGGCTGGCCTTGCGCTCACTTTGTAGCCCAGGCTGGTCTTGAACTCTCAATGATCTTCCCGCCTCAGCCTCCCAAGGGCTGGGATTACAGGCGTGCGCCACTACGGCCGGCGATCTGGCAGCTTTTAACCTTTGCCCGGGAGCGACCGTCTGCGACAGCAAGCAGCTGCAGTCTTTCCAAACCGCAGCTGCTGACCTCGGCCGCTGGAGACCCGACCCGGCCTCCAGGCGCCGCGCTGCTCCCTCCGCGGCCATCAACGCCCGCGGCGCGCGGCCAGAGTCCAGGCCCCGCCCACGGAGCGCGCCGCCTGTCAGCGGGGCCTCGACGCGGGGACTCCCGGAGCAGTGCCTGCCTGGTCAATAAAAGGGCTGCGATTTCGACGAGGGAAAAACTACTCGTGACGAACACGTGGAGTGCAGACACGACGGCTGTTTCGCTCTAGGACGGGAGAGAGTGGGGCGGTGCAGGCGGGCCGGGCCGGGGGCGGAACCGGGGCGCTGCAGGCAGTGCCGAGGACAGCCGCATCCGGGGCCTGCGGCCGCAGCCCCGCCCCCCAGGGGTCCTTCGGCGGGCGGTCCCGGGCGACTTTGGGCGTCCGCACAGCCGGCGGGGTGACAGCTCGGTCTCGTCCCGGCGGCTTTGCTCTCCTCGCGTGGCCGCGCGTCTCCGCAGACATGTTCCGCCTGATCGTCTCCCAGGCCCGGAAGCACCCCAGCGTGAGTGCGCAGCCCCCTCGCTCGCCCGGCCCCGCGTGGGGGCGCCCTGCCCGTGACCTTCGGGGGACGCGGCTCGCCCTGCCCGGCCGCCCTTCGGGGGTGCAGGTCCCTGGCCTGGGAGCCGCACCTGCGGCAGGTGCCCGGATGTGCGGGGGTGCCCGGATGTGCGGGGAGTTCTGTGGCGCGCGCCTGTAATCCCTGCCCTCGGGAGGCTGAGGCAGGAGGATGGGTTCAAGGTCATTGTGAACTACAAAGCGAGATCCTGTCTCACATGATCCCACCTCCCCTGTTTGTCCCCCCGTAGAGCTACGTGCTGGGACCTACAGTTCCCCAACACGGCCTTTCCTGTTCGTCCTAAACGTAAATACGTAGCAGGTTTCAAAATAGGTGCCTACGGAGAATTAATTGGTAGCAGTGTTTTCAGTTTGTGCCTGAAGCCTGTGTTTGTGACAGGCGTGTGTCTGTGTATTCCGATTTCTTTTTTCGCAGAGATTATGGTTTTCATACATTTATTTGGAGGCACTCAAATAATTTATAAAGAAGCTTTTCTCTCCAGCTTGGACAAAGGGGAAGCCAGAAAACGGAATGGGCCTGATGTATAAATGTTAGGCAAGTAAACCCCACTTGGTATGTTTTCTTGGAAATTTAAACATTTGCATATAATTTGTGCGCCTCCCAGGCGCATTAAGAAATAGACACTTGACAGCCTTCCAGAACATTCTGAAATAAATTGACGTTACGCCCCGCAAAAGTAAATTTTTAGACATTTAAGTCAGAATCACTTTAACATTCTTTGTAAATTCCATTGTTTTAGAATACAGTTAAAAGTAATCTTAACTTCATCTAAGGTGACTTTCTTTAAATTTTTAAAAGTTATTCTTAAAAAAAAATTTATTTATTTGTGTTTTTGAAGCAGGATCTCCTTATGCAGTTCAGGCTGGCCTTGATCTTGCAGCGATCCTCCTGCCTCAGCCTCCCAAGTGCTGGGATTACAGGCATGTGCCACTATGCCCAGCTGCCTTTCATTAAATTTTAAGACAACTTTCCAAAATGGCAGTTTTGACATTTGGGGATTAATATGTTAAAAATACTGTACTCTCTCTTGGGTCAACATCAAGAAAGTTGAAGATGGTTATACTGTATATTATTTAGTTTTCAGTGGTATTGGAGATTGAACCTACAGTTTCTCCACTGAGCTACAGACATCCTTTTCTGTGGTTGGTTTGTTTTTTGCACAGGGTCACTTAAGTTGTGTTTTTGGCAAATCACTTACGTTGGTGGGACTGGGCTTGAACGGATGATCCGTATACCTCTCAGAGTGCTGGGATTACAGGCGTGGGCCCTTACCCCTGGCTTAAATTCTTGTGTATTTTGTGCTTCGTTCCAGCTGATCCCCCTTTTCCTGTTTATTGGAGCAGGAGGGACTGGAGCAGTACTGTATTTGACACGTCTGGCGTTGTTCAATCCAGATGTCAGGTAAGTGCTTACGAATACCTGACCTCTGACTGTGTGTCAGGCTGGTTTAGGAGCTTCTGTTTTGCTAGTCGTGAAGCATCACGCACAGTATTAGACAGAACTTGACTTTTGTAGCCGAATAGTAAGTTCAGATCCCTGTTCCGCTGCCATTTACTTTTTCTGGTTCATGAAATTATCAAATTTCTCTCAGTTTCGTTTTCTTACTGGTAGAGTGGAATTGTTAATACCAAATCTTAAAATGTTTATAGAATTGAGATGATTATTTTTATAAAATATTTAATTGTGGTTCCTAGTATGTAAAAATATTTTTGCCTGGTTTCTAAGATAGGTAATTTTTTTTTGCAGTTGAAAAATAATAGGCAAAAAGATTGATTTGGCATTATTCAATGCACTTTTTTATATACAGTGTTACTTCAGTGTTAAACTTCGGTAAAAGCTATGTGTAAATTCTGTAATGAACGTAGAGACAATTTGGGAGGCTGTGTTCTACTTTTTTTTTTTAACTGACTGCATGGGGTTGCTTATTATAGATTGTTTTATTTCCATAATGAAAGTAATAACCATACTTACTCTAATAGAAAATGACATTGATCAGCATAAAATATTAGTTTCTTGAGAAGTCCAAAACACTATTTTAGTAGCATTTGTCATTATAGCAAATACTATGCCTTCTTTCTTTAGTTGGGACCGGAAGAATAACCCGGAACCCTGGAACAAACTGGGTCCCACTGATCAGTACAAGGTAAGGTGCAGAATCTAAATTTCTGGAGTGTGTATTGTAATAAGTTTGGTCGTGGAGTAGTTTTTCTTTTAAAATTGTCCGTACATGTAAATTCTGTTATGAACTTTGAAGCCCTCTTGGATTGTTCTGTGAAGGTAAAGTAGTTTACTGTGCTAGTAAATGTTTTTTCACAGGAGTTTCACCTCCAGGCTTTAGGCTCAGGGTGTAAAGTTAGGGTCATGTCTTGGTTATCTTAACGTTGCGTTTTATTAAAAGACTAAAGAGATGGGACAGTTTTCAGTTATCATTTTATGAGTTCTTAGGTGGTCTGCTTAGCTGTGCCCAAATATTTCGTCCATAGAGTTTTGTTTTGTTTGTTTTTTTTCCGGTACTAGGAATGGAACTCACAACCTTGCGCCTGCCAGGCAGGCGCTGTGCCGCTGAGCTAAATCCCCAGCCCCTGTACATAGAGTTTATGAAAACATTCTTCAGTTCTACTTGCAGAGATTCTGAGTACTTGTTGGTTGAATATACAGACTGAGAATTTCCGCTTCTGTTTCGTTTGTTTGCTTTTGTGTGTCTTTTTGAGACAGGGTATTCTATTGAGTTCAGGCTGGCCTTGAGCTCACTTTGTAGCCCAGGCTGGTCTCGAACTCACAGCGATTCTCTTGCCTCAGCCTCCTAAGTGCTGGGATTGCAGGCGTGCGCCTCCACACCCTGCTGAGAATTTCTGTTTCCAACAAGGTTTCAGGTGATGCTGGTGCTGCCAGTGAGTGGACTGCGTTTTGAGTAACACTATGCTCTTGGACATTCTGGTTGGCTGTTCTTGCTGATTGGTATGGTTAAAATATTTTAGATGATGATGAATAGGAAGGAATTAAAGTCAGTTGAAACTTAAATTTTACCATGAACCTCCTAAACATTTTAACATCTTCCCTCAGGAGTGGTCTTTGGAACTTGTCTTTGAAAGAATGGTCTCATGTGCTGGAACTGTTTATTACCTTCTTCAGCATAAAAACTCTGGGCACAAACCTTTGCGGCATCACTGCATTTAGGTGTAATTTGGATGTCATGCGATTCGTCTGTGTCTGACTCACCCCTGTACTTTCTGCTGTACAGTCTGCTTTGTCAGAGGAGCAGCTGGCAGCTTGCTTTGCGCTCTGGAGAAGCAGCACCCTGAGGCGGGTGTGTCTGGGGCTCCTGAGGGCGGCACTGACTCCCTGCCTGAGGGGAAGCTATTGTAGTAAGTCCCCGACTTACGAAGGAGTTCTGTTCCTCAGTCAGGTTCATTCTTAAGCCCAGCAAAGTGAGTCTTCCACATCCCTGACAGAAATGTTCAGTGTAAAACATAAGAGAGGGGCTGTGTCTGTGAGAGGGGTTTGCAAGTCGGGGATTTATTATTCTGATTGCAGCAACTTTTAGGATGACCTTTCTCTGAACTCAAGCTTTCTGCTTAATCTAGGTATAATTTGGCTTTTAATTTAGGTCTCCCTCCAAGAAGCAAATAAAAATGTACTGGCCAGGCTGACACAAGCCGTCTGATACGTATTAACATTTTGTTTTCAAAAATTAAAAAATGTCATCATGATTTATTTTTCTGTCCTACAAATTTAAGTGCAGTTCATTTCTGAAAAAAGTGTTTCTATATCTGAGGAACATCAAAAAAGAAAACAAAAAGGCTGGGCGTGATGGTACATGCCTGTAATCCCAGCACTTGGGGAGGCTGAGGCAGGAGGATCACCATGAATTCAAGGTCAACCTGGGCTGCATAGGAGTTTGAGGCCAGCCTGGACTATAGAGTGAGACCGTGTCTCAAATACAAACAAACAAATAGCAAGTAGGTTATGGTCCTACCAAAGAGCGTCTGGAACTTGTCTGTATGTGTGGTTGGAAAGCTGAATGATTCTGTTAATGAAGCTAGCTACCAACGCTATTGCTGTGATAATAGTGCCAGTATGAGGCCATGTGACCTGAGGATGGGATGTTGTTGCAATAAAAACCTAGTGCGTGTGACGCGGGCTGAGCTGTGAGTGGCTGCAGCACTGATACTAACGATGGCAGAATGGAAAGGAAAAGGAAATACATGTGGAGAAGGGTGAACCCCGAGCGAGTGAAGCTCACTTAACTGCTGCTCAGCACGAAGCAGTGGAGGCGGCTGGATCAGTGTCGCTGTCACTCACTGTCAGCGAAGAGAATTTGCTTTTCTGGCCCACGGACAGAATGACACTTGCAACTTTTTTTTTTAATAATTTTTTCATTTTAAAGAGAAGAACAAATACAAAAGAACAAAAACAAAACAACACAAAAACAAAAACAATACAAAATTTCAAAACAAGATGATAGGAAATTAACAGTGGTCGTTGTACTACACATTGTTATCTTCAGAGTAGTTACTCAGATAACCAGATACAGGCTTGCATGAGGACAGAAGTGTGGGTAAGGGCTCCTTACCAGTGTAGAGTTGGTAATTGGTGTTTTTTTTTGTACTGGGAATCAAGCTCAGGACCTTGTGCGTGCCAGGCAGGTGCTTGTGCCACTGAGCTATATCCCCGGGCCCCGGCGTAGGGTTGGAATGAGGAGAACATGGAGCGTTAGTGTATGAGCAGGATAATGTGAATGAGAAAGAAAACATTCCTGTTGCAGACCACTAAGGTAGGAGGTGGTGATGACAAGGTGTCACAGACTCAGTGGCTTAAACGGGAGAAATTTGTTTCTCACCATTCTGGAGACTGGGAAGCCCGGGATCAAGACATCAGCCAGTTCTTGGTGAAGGCTTCCCCTTTACTGTGTCTTCAGAGAGCAGAGGAGGAAGCTTTCTCACACTGCTCCCTGGTGAAGGCGCTAATCCAGTCACGCAGGCTCCACCTCATGACCTAATTACCTCCCAGGGGCCCATTTTCCAAATACATCGTCTTGTCGGGGATTAGGATTCCAACATGAGTTCCCGGAAGACATAAATATTCAGTTCACAGCACAGGGCTGTCGGTTGCCAAGTTGCAGAAGCTAACACAAGCAGCAAGACAGGACCACGCGTAGTAAATGTGAGCACGAAGGGCCCAGCAGTGCTCCTTCAGTCAGTGTCCCAAACCCAGCAGAGCCTCTGAAGTAGCCACCATGAGGTTGGGGTGGCGGGTAGGGGCATGGAAGTGGAGAAGTGAACAGATTGGGAAATGACAGCACTCTAGAGAGAATTTTGAGTTTGGAGCAAATCAGCCTGCCTAGTTTTGGGAAAACTGAGGAAGACGCTACAAGCTTTCTGCTTTAATCAGTGCCTTTTATTTAGTGTTTGGCAAGTCAGTTTCCTGTTTTATGAAGTAAGAATGGGCAAAGTTGGGATGTGTAAGGTACACATGCAGCATCTGGGCCGGTGCGCGGCAGATGTTTCTTCCTCCTAATCTGTAGCTGCAGGCCCTCCGGAAGTACTCTTCCAGTGTTGTAACGCCTTAGGAGGTAGCACGGTTTCTTTTTGGAGTATCATTGTCCAGCTTAATTGCTTCTTAAAACTTGCAGAACAAAGAAAACTGCTTTATGGTGTAGTCATAACTTTTTTAATGTAAAGCCTTACATTTTTGTGTGTACATCTCAAGGATAACTTGGTAAGAAGTTTTTCTTTCTTAAAAAATCAAGTAAGAGTTTTTGAATCAGAAATAAAGAAGTTAGAGTATATTTGAAGAAAGAATGAATATAGATTTGTGAATTTTTTTTCACAGTGCTGATGATCAAACCCAGGGCTTTGCACACGCTAGGCAAGTGCTGTACCCTTAGCCCTGCGCTTCCTTTTCTAGTAAAATATCTGAAGAAAGTGAAATTTTGGTCCTTTGGGAGATAAGTAATGTCTTGTAGCGTGACCTCCTCAGTGTCCTTTGGCACGAGGCTGAACAAGTCCAAGATTATAGCCTTATATGGGCTTAAGTGCAGATCTTGATTTCTTTTTTTTTTTTTCTTCAACTCTGGGCAAACTTCTTGTATAAATCATTTTTTTTAAAAAAGTTATTGGGAGTTAGAGACTTTTTTTTAAGCAATCACAGCAAAATTTATTTTTAAAATGAATTGAATATAAGGAAATATTAGGAAACTTAAAAAAATGCAGAAATGCTGTTTTACTTAAAAGCTACCACCAGAAGTGATTATCAGTTTGATATTGATACGACCTGGGTTAGGAAGCTAAGGAGACCTCCGAGACAGAAACGTGGTTGGCGTAAACCCAGTTTGTGTCTGAAAGTTTACATAAGCCACAAACAAAACAGTACTTTCATTACTAGCCTCTCTTGGTTACAAGATCTTTCCCATCAAAATTACAACGCACAAGTAGGGATGGCAGTTCTCCATATTGCTGTATTGTGAAGATAATGTAAAATCTTACAGAATTGGAAGTAGACGTATATGTCAGAAGGAATTCTTAATTATTCATGTTGAAATGGAATTTTTAAAATAGATTTTTAACTAAAAGACTTAAACTATTCTGACATAAATGGCATGTTTTTACCTTAAAAATTCTGATTACAGGACTGGATTTTTAGGTGTAGTGTCCGTTAGAGTGATTTTTGTATTGTTAAATATTCGTAATAATTCATTTCTATAATTGTTACTATAGAAAACTAAGTAGACCTAATTCTGAAACTGCTGTGCCATCTCTGTGTCTGACGTCTGACATACCATTTTTCTCTTCCAAGTTCTACGCGGTGAATACGGATTACAGCAAACTGAAGAAAGAAGGTCCGGACTTCTAAGGGAAATGGTTCACTATAAAGCTGCTTGACATGAAGGTCTTTCAGAAGCCATCCGCACAATTTTTCACTTAACCAGGAAGTAGTTCTCCTCTAAATGCATGAAATCATGTTCATTTGTTGGAGCTTATTACACAGATTAATAAACCTCTGAAACTTGATATGTGGCGCTGTTTGCTGCTGAAAATCTACTGTCAACCTTTAGGTCATAGGAAGTAAATTAACAGTTTAAAGAATTTTTTTTGGAGCTTCTTTTATTTATGTAATGGACAGTAAAACTTTAAGCCACTGTAGTCAGGCTTTCGTTTTGTGCATAGGTCTTTGGTAACCTCACTAGCGTGATGAGAATTGGAACTGGAAATTACACAGAAGCACATCAGGAGGACCACTCAGGCCTGGGTGCTGCGGGTGAAACGGGCAGCTGCGGTTTCTTTTATTGGCTGATGTCAAAGTGTGTCCAGTTACTAAGGGCGGTTTTTACTTTGCCATTCTCTTTGCTGAAAGGGTTCAGGGTTATTTGATAGAACCAGGGTTACAGCTGAAATCTGAGCCCTTACTGCAGCACTGCGGCTGGTGGCCCAGAGTCCTTGAACTTCTGGCGCTGTGTCTTGGCAGGCTTTCAGAGTCCAGGAAGTAGATAGAGCGCAACTGTGAGGTAAGGGAAATGTATGAGAGTTCTCTTTTGAAATGGGCTGTGGAGTTGGAGTTTGGTTGGAAAAACACTAAATGAGTGTTTTTCGTTTACTTGTTACATAGCGCAGACCTTTTGGCCAAGTCAGATGAGCCAGTAAGCAAAACATTGTAGTTCTCGCCAGTCAAGAATTAGCCATCCTAACTGGGTTTTCACATGGGTGTGTATTTGAGAGTTATCACATAGGAACTTGAATTTAGTCAGATCATTTTGGTTTTAACATGTAAATATGTAATTAAGTTTTTGTATAGGGGGTAGTAATCACACCGAACACGTGAGAAGCTAGACTAAGCACTTGAATTATATCTGTTACCTTCATACCCAAAGATACGTGTACATGTACATACACATATGCAGTTGAGGAAACGTTAAATTACTAGAAATCACTGGAGGGGGTGGTGGATTCTGAGCTGAGGTGGATGTAGAGTGTGTACAGTACGTTCTAATTACTTTACTTTTAGCTGTCATATTTTTTAGATATTTTCAATCTGTAAAGAAGGATCTTTTTTTTTTTTTTTTTCTGGTCTTGAGACGGTCTCACAGTGCAGTTCAGGCTGGCCTTGCACTGTCTTTGTAGCTCAGGCTCGCATTGAACTCGCAAAGATCCTCCTGTTTCAGCCTCCTGAGTGCCGGGATTACAGGTGTGGACCACCACGCCTGGCTAGTTTTTTTTATATCAGTGAGATCCCCAGGCAGACCTGCATTTGAATACAGACGTTGGATTAGTGTTTACGTGTATTTGAAAAGTTACCATTTTCAGAATTTACAGATGCTTCCCAGTATGTTTTAAAAAGGAGTGCAGCAAAAATTACACTTCTTTTAAATATATTAACCCACTCTGATCAGATTTTATCCCTATAATCTCATTAAAAATGGTTCTTAAAGTTATCAGGGTCGGGGAAATAGCTCAGCTGCACAAGTGCCTGCCTGCCAAGCTCAAGGTCCTGAGTTTGATCCCTGCTACCAGAAAAACAAAAAAATAAAGTCATCAGTTTACAGTTTTAGACTGTGCAGTTCTGAGTGGTCAAGGAAATACAATGTCACTGGATTGTCTGTGTTCCTTTAAAGCCCTACGTTGGTGGAAAGTTGATACAGAAACTGTATTAGTGGACTTCCCTGTCCCTGAGACAAAATACCAGGCACCCACAGTTGAAAGGAGGAAAGGTTTCATTAGCTCATGGTTTCCGGAGGTTCAGTACATGGTCAGCAGGCTCTAGCACAAAAACATGGTGGCAGAGCAAAGCTACTCAGTGTGTGGCAGTTGGGAAGCAGACCAGGGGACCTGTCCCAGCAGCAGAGACCGTAGGTCGTGCACAAGGGCACTCCCCCATGACCCACTCACACGCTCTGGAGCATATTTTACTCATCTAGGTGTTTCTTAATCCAGGGAAGTTGACATAGCAGGATTATTGGTCACAGGAAAATAGAAAAGTAATACACCCAAAGAGACAAGGTTCAAGTTACCATCTTGTAATTACTGACCACAGGTGGGGAAGAGAGGAGAACAATTGGGTTTTGGGAGCTGCGTCCAGCTCACAACTGGACAGACTCAAAGAGGAGAAGTTTCACTCAGAATTAAAACCTGCATTTCATAGATTATAAACTAGATTAAAAATATAGCCAGTTGAAAACCCCATACTGTAATTAAGCCCTTTTCTGGACTTCCTTTTCACTGTCCTCCTCCTTTCCTTCCTCTTCTTCCTCCTCTTCCTCCTTTGCCTTCTGGAGAGGACCTAAGGCAGTTGGCAGGTAGGATGTGAGCAGTGAGCAATTGGGGATGATTATAGGTAGCTAATTTGGATAAAAATTAATGTACATCAGAAAGGGACTGGGCTCTCAAGGAAGCCAGGGCAGACGGAGACACTGAAATTCGGCTGGAGGCGCATTGAAGGAGACAATGGAAATTTGAGATTGTACTGTAATGGGCAATACCCAGTCCGTTAAGCCCAGATACACATC